GGTGTGTGGGCGTGCGGGCGTGTCAGCGGGCGGGCGGGCGGGCGTGTGTGTGTGTGTGTGTGCGTTTGCGTGTGTGTGTGTGTGTGTGCGTGTCTGTGTGTGTGTGTCTGTGTGCGGGTCTGTGTGTGTGTGTGTCTTTGTGTGTGTGTGTGTGTCTGTGTGTGTGTCTGTGCTTGTGTCTCTGTGTGTGTGTGTGTCTGTGTGTGTGTCTGTGTGTGTGTCTTGTTTTGCTGTTGCTTCAGCTCTGGTTCAAGACTGATTTGCTGCACAAAAAGGACTCCGGAGGTTTCTAGTTCGTGGACATTGCGCACTTATTTGGTAACATGCCAAACACTTCTTTCTCCGTTTGTCTCTATACATCTACTCTCACGTATTCTTGTATTTATGGTGGGTTCCTTGGTTGCCACTAAATGCAACATGGTGCGATATGAAAGTGGCTGCAACCCGACGACTGGACACGCAAAAAACCGCGCTGCCTTGAACTTGACTGGGGAAGAGAACAATGTACGTTTGTTTGAGGAAGAATCCACAACGCCATCTCCTGGAACTTGACTGCTCATCAGGCTCTGCCACGAAAGTGTCTTCTCGCTTTGGTAATGCTCAGCTCACAGCATTCTAAGTGAAAATACGGGACACCCATTGTGGGAAAACACAATGGGTCATGTAGTCTCATTGCCATACACTGCTTGTTTGGCAGGATAAACCTCCTAGATCCACGACAAAATGCCTCGCTTGTAGTTTGAGCCTCTCTGGAGCAGGACTCAAGTTCACGCTGCCGCAATACTGTCCCAGAAGGGAAACCATAACACGACAGTGCTGAGGCTGTACTGTTGGTTGTGTTTGCGAGCTTTTCAGTTTCCAGGGTGAAGGGCGCTGTGGAAAAGTTCAATCTTCCTTCAGGCCCCCTAAACTCAAGCGCTCCTCGGCGTCCTTCCGCACACTTCCCAAACCCGGCTCATCGGAAAGTGAGGTGGCACGCTCAGACCGCGCCTGGCTGGAGGCTTCAAGAGCGGCGTGGGCTGTTGAGCGAACCACGCGCTCAACCCTAAGTAACTGGTTTGCAGAAAGGATACTCTATTAACCAGAAGCACCAAACTCTGAATGCTTCATGTTGTACATTCAGGCCAGCATATACACAACATATATGTGTATGTATATATATATATGTATATTGATTCATTGGTTGTCCTGTTTTCTACGCCCCCCTGCTCCTCCCCCCTCTTTGCAGGTGTGCCCGTTTTGCTTGAGTAGCGCGCAGGCTGTAGAGTGTTGACTGCTTGCGCAGCAGGTGCCACCGTTTTGCGTTGAGCAGACAGGAAACTGTTTGTGCAGCAAACTCAAGCACAGGTATGCAGGCTATTCCATCATGTGCATTTCTGCAGAGACCAAGTCCATTGCACAATTGCAAGAAACAAGCATTCCGCACAAAAATGTATCAACATGTCGACATGCTATCTGCCTCTGAAAAAGAGGCTGAACCCACACCAGGAAACCTAAGTACTCTTGCGCAAGAATATATCCTTGCACAAAACAAATGTAAAAGGCAAGTGGATAGAAAACATCATTTACTCTGCTGTGGGCAAGACTTTGTCCGCACAGCAAACATAGCTGCGATTTGTTCGCACATGTCATTTCTCCGCGCAAGACGGAAACAGTTCTACAACACCAGTAAGAGAAAACGAGTGTGCCAAGCAAGATGCAAACATGCCAGACCCCCCGGAAATGATAGAAACGGGACCAACAAGGAAATGTGAGTATCCCTGGAACAAGAAGGAAAAGCATCATTTTCCCAGGCAAGCTTTGTCCAGAACCCTGCTCCAAAAAACGAAGGATACTCAACATTGCTTGCCCATGCAAATAGTTGGGACACTGTTTGTCAACTCGAACCAACTCACGCGGGTGAGGTCAGCGTTGGTGGGACGCGGGGTGGGTGGGTGGCAAGCTTTGATGTTCATGCGAACCAAGTCACGCACCATGCAAGGGGGGGACGGGCCTGGGATGTCTCGGTGGGAAAAGGGGCGAGCGGGGTGGGTGGGGGAGGGCTGGGGAGGTTATGCGGTGGAATCATGATCTAATTCACTTGTGGAATCATGCGGTGCCCGAAAAGATAGTCAAGGTCATTCGACTAATTTATGTAATCATTGCTGGAATCATGCGATGTTTGTAAAGAGAGCGATCGTACTGCGAACCTTCGTAACTTCAATCCAACTCGAACACACTTCCGGCTTCTGATGTATGGAAAAACCCAAGCAAAACAACATTTTTTGGGTTACCACGTGCACGGATGACCAGGCCCATTTGCGGTAATTACCATGAATTCTGAACGTGACACGTGTACAAATGAGCAGTTGGACACGTGCACCGATGACCGCCCAACCACGTGCACGATGACCCCCCTTCCACCGGTGGGATCAATCTTGGATCCACAAATGTCCCCTGAAATCAAAATACCGCATTTAATCTTCCAAATTTTGTACGGCTATTTGGACCCTGGATCCAAGATCCAAGATTGCTGGGGGACTTTCAGAGGCTTAACCACCCCTCCCCCCCACAATCTCCGATCTTGGATCTTGGATCCGGGGTCAGAAATCCAATTCTGGTATTTAGATTTTGTAGTCACTCATGGATCCAAGATTGCTCCCAAAAGTCCCACACACAATCTTGGATCTTGAATCCAGGATCTAAATACCGGTATCTAGCAATCAAATACCGGTATTTAGATTTCAGAAGTATCACTCATGGATCTCCCAAAAACATCCCCCACGAATCTTGGATCTTGGACCCGGAGTCTATAGAAATCTAAAATGGTATTTAGATGGAGTCTGGCCTTTTTTTGTCATTGGGGGCACCGGGAGAGGGGGGTACCATACAATTATAGAATACAATGTCATGTATATGTATGTGACACGTCTTGAACTTCCTGCAGCTAACCCTGCCACAGTCACTGCAAGCTTCGCATGCTATTGCTACATTGTGAGGAGACTGGGAGGTCTGCTTGAGAAAGCCGAGCTTGCGACTGTTCCGCATTCCCTGAGTAGCTACAAGGAGGGTTACATGATGAAAGCCATGAATCCAAGGCATGAACAAGTGGATGTGTACCACCTAACAGAGATTTTTTAAGCAAACAGAAATGCAGAAATGCATTTCATCGGTGGTGAGGTTGTCCTACAGCCCTACACCCGGGCAGCTGCTTCAAGCTGTGAACATGTCTCGCCGATTGCCCTGCCTTACTCATTTTCCGCCAAAACAAACCTGCTGTTGCCACCAGTCCTCAAAGTGTCCACAGCCAAGCTGTATACAACAATACAATCTCCAGCACCTAACCCAAGAAAGCTTGGATCTGCCAAGGTCTCTTTTCAAGTATGGCTAGCAACCTTGTACTCAGTCACGGTGTCCAATTCCGTGACAAGCTTGTTTGTGCTTGATTCGTGTACAAATGAATGCCAAAGCCTGACACTGCACAGCACTTGACCTTCATGGTGTTCTATGTTTCGTCCCACAACCGCATGTGTGTATCGCTACCGGTAGGTGTTTACCCGGTCTGCGTGAAAGCTTCATGGTCGCTTCGTGTTTCATTTACGGTTTTTGTCTAGCGCTGTGCTTCCTTTGCGTGTGATTTCATGTGCGCGTACCCTCCAAATGATTGACTCCATCCAAAACGAGGGGGGCAAAGTCGCATGGCCCAGCATGGCCCGTCTTTGCCTCCTTCTCCTTCGGCTCTTTGGCCTGGCGGGCATGCCAGGCTCTTTGGCGTTTGACTTGGAAGCATGGCTGCAAGCCCTTGCACAAGCAGCATGCTGCTCAACACTCTCAAATCTACGGGAGTGGTTTACGCACTTGCCTGACTGCTTGCCTGGTTGCTCAAATGTCGGGACTCTGGATACGCGTTTGGATTTTGCGGGCTCCGGCAGAACCGCGTGCCTTCTCAACAAAAACAAAGAAGGCACTGTGCCCCCGAAAAAGAAAACCGCGTGCCCAGAAATGAGGCACCTCAGGTTACCTCTCAGTAAAATTCGGCGCCGTGCCTTCCCACGGCCATCGTCTCTCAATCGTGTCTTTGAGAAGGCATGGTAGGGGGAGGCTCGATGGGGGTCCAGAAGTAAAGGCGTCCTTTTGAAACACCGAATGCTACAGCATAGATTTACGGACTATCTGCCCGCGCTGAAACGTTAACATCCCAAATAAAGCTCAAAACGTACGGATCGTAGGTGTGGTTGAAGGTACGAATCGTTCTGGCACCGGCTGGGTGATCCACACCCTGATTTTTGTTCAGCCGCATCCACCTCTGACATTGGTATTTTATAATTTTCAATATGCCCGCAGCTTGAAAGAAACAGAAAGTCAAATGGCAGCGAAAACAGCGTGGACTTGATTGAAGTGTGCAAAGGCTTGTCCACTCAAACACTCGGCCTCCCGCCCGACCATCACATTTTTTGCCCTCGGCACGACGCTGCCAGCAAGAACATGCCAACCAAGCACCAACAGCCAGGAGCCTGGCTCACAGGCCGTAGGACTTGCCCAGCCAACTGGTTGTTAGATTGCAACAAAGTTGCCAACATCAGGAAGATGACAGCCACGTTGAAGACGTTGAACAGTCTGCATTTCTTTGCAAGCCGCTCTTTGCAGGATCCATATCTGACGCCAGGTCAACAAGTCAAAGAAGCGCATTCATTGTGCGGTGCATCCAGAACGGCAAAACAGTAAATCCCACGCAGCCTTCAAGAGACGATTCGAATCCAGTCCGTTGCAAGGCAAACAAGCATCTGAGACATTTTCACAGGATGGACCTGAGCTGGTGTGGGGCGCAGCTCTTGAATAGTCATGGAGACATCACACCAACTCTTCCGTGTGCAAAGAACCTCAACTTAGACTCGGGGAAAGTACCACAGCCCGCCAACCTGGCCACGGTCAAACACCTTTGCTGGCTCTGGGCACGGCTTCACGCTTCCTGACTTTAAGGATCTTATCCTCATTCAAAGCATCGACAATCGATCCGTTCAAGATGTGATGGCCTCAAAGTCATGCAGCGCCTCATGAGCTGCTAGCAAGAATGCTGAACATCTTCTTGAGCGCGCGAAACGCCTAAGCCTTGTTTTGTGGAGTAGATTTGCGGCTTACATGTTTGATCCCCGACAGGTTTTCAAATCAAATGGCAAGGCACCCACAAACTTCTGAGCTAGCTAAGGCACCAACAAGTCAGGGACACCATATATGTCTATCGAACATAATCTTGTTTCTTGGCTCGACTTCTGAGCCCATTCCAAGGATTTCAATTGGCAGGGCCCCTCACTGCTCATACATTCCGGTATTTTTTAACCAGAAAGATCCCTACGTCAGGAGCACCCGCCGCTGGAACGCAACATGTATTGCACTTGGCAGCGTGCGCTGGTCCGCTAGAGGGGCTGTGAACAAGCTGGAAAACGAGGCTGCGGATACCTCGAGCAACGCTATGACCCGCTGCACCTGCTAGCCGGGGAAGCCCAGAAACAGGCACGAAACAGTCTAGGTGTCCATCTAGGGCAAGGTAAGCTGGTGCAATACTTGAAGGGAATGCCTCGAGTTTCGCCTCTAATGACTTGGCAGCCTTCCAACATGAGCCACAGCCCAATGAGCTGTACCCGGCCAGGCGCCTCTGCCAAAATCAAACATGAAGGGAAAGGACAGCCACCGTCCACAAGCGGAACACTCAATGGACACCACATGCCTTCATTCAGCCACATTCATCTTTCAGGAAGGATTGATTCTGGCAAAGGCGCATGGTTGGGTTTCTCATTGGAGTGTCGCAAGCACAGCCTTTCCGCGCGGCTCCCCCGCCAAAAGAGCTTCCCACCAAGAAAACTATTCCACAAGCGCATGCGGGTGGATCCTCCTTACGTAGCACGCATGCAAAACGTGCCATAATCAAGCCTTGACGCTGCTGTCAACAACTCTCACAAGACCGACGATTGCCCGCGCACACAGCTGACAGAGAGGAATCGAGCGAGAAAGAAAGACAAAACAGAAACTCTACATGTATGTTTCTTCTCTCTCTCTCTACTGTTCATTTTGCTTCATAGCTCAACGAAATTGACTTGCCGCAAGCCGCCGAAACAGTTACTCCTGCTCTGCCTGCAAATGTTGCGCTGATCCAGCAAGCTGCTGTGGCTGTAAATGTTGTCACGTGCATTCGCTGCACAAACGCCTTCTGCGCTGCATTGAGCTCTGAGGCATCACCCAGGGCAACGTTATCGAACTTACAGCGATGTGTTTCAAACAACCGGTTAGACAACATTCTGATAAATTACCCAAATACGAAAATGCCCCCTTTTCTTTTTCTCAGCATTGTGTAAGGGGATAGGGGAATGCACCCTCCACCGAATTCCGTGAATCGGTCACGGGATTTTGGGTGGAGCCTAAGAGAAATTAAAAGTGTCTTTTTTCAGAAGACGAGGAAGCAGGACAAAGGCTGGGTCAGGCCCTCGATCCGCACACGCAGGTGTTAGTCCGGGTGTGCGAGTTCATCAGCCCAGGTGTTGAACTTTGTGGGAATGTGGTTTGGTGCTTAGAAGTTCATCATTGCGTAAACACCCTGGTTGTCGCTCCCCCAGATGAGGAGCTCCCCGAGGGCCGCAATGCTCTTTGAAGGCCCACAGGAGCTGCTCCTGGCACACTTGGAAGTGGAACCAGAAGACCTGCCCGGGCTTGCTCTATCTGAGCACCAGCCTCCTCCGATGTAGGCCTTGCCATTCGCCGATGCTCCCACGTCACACCACTAAGACTTCGGGCTTGAGTGGGATTGTGAAGAGCTGTTTGAGAAGGCAAACCATTCAAACCATTTTAGGTGGTCTCCCGCTGCGCAGACGGGCCGCAGTGGCCACTGCCGTAGACCATTGAATCCGGCCCATAGCCTTAGCCCCCCTCATCCGGAGCAGCCAGCAGAAGTCGTCCACGAAGACGAGGTACAGTACACATGTGCAGGACCATGGAAATCTGCCCACTGGCAGCCAGCGCTGAGGGAGACAAAATTCAGACCATATATGATGGCTCGATGAAGGGGGGTGGTCATGGCTGGGTGGAGACAAGAAGTGCTCCCCAAAGCGGACGTGACTGAGCCCGCCGGCAAGTCAAAGTGCTGCGAGGACTGGCGCTTCTCTGTGAGTAACTGTTAAGGCTAGTTCTTGCCCCATTGTCTGCCTCCTCTCTCCTTCCAGGGCCAGACCTCAAAGTCGGAGGAGACCAGCGGCACTCCACAAATAGAGGTAGAACATCATCTTCTCCGAAATGATCGCAGTGAGGCACTTTCCGCTCCCTGGTTTGTAGAACCATTGCAAGATGCTCCCTGTTCTACAGTGCCTCCGCCTGCCATAAGCACCAGGCCTGCTGCTGCTAAAGTGCACATTGCGTTGTACGGCTCATGCCCAGACAAATGATGATCCGCCGGAATTGCAGCTTTCCACCACCGTTAGAGGACCTCTGCCAGCCAGCCAAAATCGTGCGAAGGTGCTCCCTGCGCTTTGGATTGAGAGGCTTCAATATGTCCGCGCATTGCAGGTGGGTGTGGTGGGAAGGGGTGTTGGCTGTTGGCGCTGCCTTGGAACGTTCCACTGGCTTGGATTGCGGCAGTTCTTGTGAAGACGGTAGTCCTTGCAGAAGCTCACCCCCTTGAAGTTCTTCAAACCCCAGCGGGCGTGGTATTTGGCGCCGTTGCCTTTGGGAGGGTTGGGCCGGGTGTGTTGTCCCTCCTGTTGAAATCTTGCTTTTCCGACTGTGTTTGATGAACCTTTCCTCCCCCCTTTTGCTTGCCTTTGGGTGCTGCTGGCGCTGGTCGTTGCACTCGTTCGTAGACCTCCCGCTGCCAGAAAGAGTAGGTCCTCCCTGGTGGTCCACTTAAAGGGTGATGTGAATTGGAGCTGTCTCTTCTGTGAGCACATGGATTTGTTTGGTCGCGAAAGCTCCGTGCTCCTTTGAAAGGGGATCATCATCCACGACTTGCTGCTCCTCCCGCTGGAACGCAGGGCGTCAGCCTCAAAACAGTTCGCCTCAACCTGGCGTGCTTGGGATTCTTCAGCCTCAAGGCCCTTGCATATCTGCACCACCACGTTCCGTTTCTGGCAAACGTAGACGTCTGCTGTACTCTCCGTCATCCAGGTGCCCAGATATTGCCGCAGGTTTCTGGGCACCGGAAAGCACAATCTGGCGAGCACGGTCTCCGCCCCGCAGCTGTTCGCGCCAACACGCTCACCGATCTCCAATAACAGCGCGGCCTCCAACAGCGGTTCGGAGCTGCGGCTGCTGGGCAACCAGAGCGCGCGGGTCTTTCTGGAGTGGGACGGCGCACCGCGCCTCCGTAGCGCCTCCTTAAGCCATTGCAGCGCCCTGTCCGCCGTCCTGCATCTCGGGGAAAGGCTCGTGGAGTCTTCGCTGATGGTCGGCAGCATGGTAGTCCATGTCAATGAAGCGCCGTACCGTGGCCAACCACGGGGCCCACCATGTGAGGCCTGCGAAGCTGAACTTGGCGCAGATCAACGGCGCTGCTCGTTGTTTGATCTTGGCCGCGGTGACTGGTTTGTCTGCCACGCCGTCAACTCCACGTGTCCGAGGTCTGTGAGGTTTGCTGTGGGTGGACGTGCTGCAGGCCGTCAAAGCGTGCGCTGCAGCCCGCTTGGTACCTGGCGATTTCAGGAGTACGTCCAGCCGCCCCTAGCGCCCTTCCCTGCTCGGCACTGCTGCTTTGCGCTTGACCACAGTGTCCGCCAGGCTCTCTTCCAGCGCCTGCTTCTTCTGCTTCAGGCGGTGGACCTCATCCACATTGAGGACTCTAAAGATCTTGGAGAACCACCGGCGTGTGTTCCACAATGGCTGCACCTTGTGCGGAGATGTGTCCGCTGCCGCCAGTGCGTTCAGGAGTGAGCGCTCCTTCCGCGGGACTGCCGTGAAGTTCATCTTTCGGAGCTTCTCATAGGTCAGGCAGTGTTGGCGCAAAGCGCAGAACCTTCTGCCACCCAGCAGGTCCAGCGCCTCCTTCTGGAAGTCCTCGTCCAGCAAGGGCGCCAGGCTTGGGGTTGCCCACTTGCGTGGAGTTCCAGCGCCAGCTGCGTTGTGGGCTCAAGTTCTCGGACCCTACCTGGGCGCCAGTGTCTGGTGGGTCTTCACGGTCCGCCCATAACCGCACGTCCTCGTCATTGTACAGGGCTTGCAGTAGTCGGATGAGCGCCGGCCGGCCAAAGCCGCCAGAAGCAACATCCACAGACCGCAGCGGATGTCCCCCGCATCCTCCTCTGAAACTGGCTGCGGTAATCTCTTTGTCGCCGCCCCCACCAGTTGGGTGAAGTACGGCGCCGACACTGCGAGGTCGTCCATCGCGATCTGGAGGCCGTTGTCCGCCAAACCGGAAAAACGATTGCGGGCCACGGCGGCCCAATCTTTTGTTTCTCCGAAGAGCCACTGCTGCTACTGCCGCCGGAACGTAACTCGTGCTTCTTTTCAGCGCAGCTGCAGTGGCATCATAGCTTCTAGGAAGCTGGCCAACTGTGCTGACCAACTGTACACTCAAGGAAAGCGCAGGCCACAGAGATTCCGCGTGGCGCTGTCCAGCTCCCTGCGCGTTGCACGGTCGCCCTTTTATCGCTTAGCCTCCCTCACGGCTGTTGTCACGGAGGCATCCGTGCCAGCATCTCGCAGTTTCCTCCTCTAAAGGCTTTCTAGGTCACTTTGGCCAGCGCCGTGCTAGCGCCGCGCGAGCAGCATCGTTTTGGGACCAGTGGCTTAGAAGGTGCCACTTAGTTGCACAGATTACGCCGAGTGCCTAGCAGCTCCATCATGCACAAGTCAGCGCAGCCAAGGCGTTGTAAACAGAGCCATCCGTTGATCGAAAGTTCTGCTGCACGCCCCAAGCCATGTCTGACTGCAGTATGGGTCTGAAAATAGGCTGCATTGTGTGCGAGTTCCATGTTCTGGCCGCACAAGGACAATGCAGGTGGCGTGCCTGTGAAGATAAAATGCTAGCGCGACACTAGCGCGAAGCTAGAGCTTGGGTGATGCTTTGCTGGTTTTACAAGCGCGCCGCCTTGAAAACACATGAAAACTGCTTGCCTGGAAAAACTGCTTGCCTGGATCTGCTGAGCAAGGACTTTTGACAACTCATCATGTATGATCTGTCAATCTCGCTCCAAGTGATGGTCAAGATTGGTGTCCAAGACGCCAAACCCTAACCAGAGGGTCAACGACAGTGTTATTCATAACTATAACACGTGCTGATCAAGCGCAGTAGTCAGAGACGAGTGATCAAACATCAAGAGTAAGTAACAGTCTACAATCAAGCCCGCACTAGATGAAGCCAAACACCATACCTACCAAGGTACGTCAATCAAGTTCATAACGCAGGTCGTAGCAATCTCTTCCCAAATTGAAGTCCATCCCTCCCACTGAAAAGCATTCCAGGGGGGGAGTTGTTCAATCCGGCCGTAGGCGATGCTAGGTTTGACGCTCATCGTCCTACTGTTGGGGAGCACAAAAACGATCAGCCTCGCAATATTCAGAGAAATGTCAGGTTCACACTTCATGAGTCATTGCGGAGGCTGTGTTTTAGAAAGGTGGTATATGGAGGCTGATCAAAAGGTCCTTTACATGGGATGACCATGGGGAAGACCAGTACAAAAATGATACTTGCCACTAAACTTACCACTAAATTGGAGAACTTATCCATGAGCATTTGGGGATCAACCCGCATATACCGAAAGAACTTTCATCACTTCTGCACCCGCATCTCCACCTAAAACCACAGCCCTCGCAAATGGACAAGCAACTAGTAGCGGTTCATGGCTCTTTCCTTGCGAACGCAGTGGCCGTAGTGGTGAGCGGAAAGTGCCAACGCCAGCTGATAGGCAGGTGAACTGCAAACTCAATGCCCAGGTATAACTCAATGACAATCTGCTGGCACATGCTACAGGAAATCGGACAGCGAATTGCACTTGCCACCTGGGTGATGAGCGGGATTGAGACAGCAGAAACCTGGGACCGGATTGCCAATCAAACTAACTTGGTTGGTAAACTCCAAAAGCGAATGCTTGGTCAGCTTGTTGGAGCTGTTCTGACCGGACCTCCTGGCTTGCATTGACCCATCCTCACTCTTTTGACTATGAACCATCTTCTCCAAACGAGTCAACATGAGGTCCTTCTTGTCTTCGGTTTAGCTTTCAGCCAGCTTCTTTTTGTGGGACAGTGTGCTGTTGGAAAACAGACCGCCAAAGAACGTGCAGGAATCTACCTAGGCGGTACCAGGGAACCGTGGCGTGTCCAGTCACAATGAAAAGCTCATGGCACCCAGCTGGTCGAACTCGCTGACTACGACTTTGTTTGTTCCATGTATTTCTGTAAAAAACAAGATAGCTGCAAGGCTGCGATCGCTTGGCGCGCACTGCGCATTCTGCTCCAACGACGCAGCACGGGCCTCGGAGGAAGTTCAAACATCGCACTGAGAGAGCCCCCTCTGAAGGCACAGCGCTGAGCGGCGGAGGAAAGCTGCTTGTCGCAATTGCACAAGCTTGGCAGGCCAAAACTTCCTCCCTGCATGCTGAAAATGACAAACACCATGGGAGTGGCGAGTGAGTCTAGTGAGCTGAAATGATCCCCATCCAACCCAGAAATAAAAAGCATGACTCAATTCTTGCGAAATAGCATGTGATCATGCATGCCTGTCATCGACACTGTACCCAAGAACTGTACGCTGTGATATGTTCATGTGTAATCAGCTGGCGCACGCAAGGCCATGCCGACTGACTGTCTGTGTTGAAATCAACCACATGTACAGCATGAGTCTGTCATGTTATTGGTCACGTAAAAATGTTTGCCTGTGCATCGGTCGGGTGACTTGTGTGCTTCATGTTGCAGGCACATCGACTTGTTTTGCAGCAAGTGTATCTAGGCGCACTGACAACATTCCTGAACCAGAATCCGGGATCTCTTAGCAGAGGACTTCCATGAGTAAGCTCGGTTTACCTCAGGGGGTCTTGTCATATTTCGCACAATTTGGTCTGACTGCACGGGATCCTGTGTTGTTTTATGCTTCATTGTCAGCTGTGTCCATCACAGTGCGAGCCAATCTATCATGTGCATCCGAGCATGCATCCTGCTGCTTTGTCACACTGCTATGTCGATTCTTGCATGCTGTGGTATCTGCCCGCCATCATTTTGTGTATGCAATGAAATATACAATGTGAACGCGTTTCTCTATCGTACGCTGCACGCATCGTTTGTATCTCTCTTGGTATGTTGGTACGGCCCCACGCCTCTCCCAAGTTTGTGCGCCTGTCACGTGCCCATTTCAAACACCTTGGCCAGGTGCACTGGCTGATATTTGTCTTGCGCTCTCACGTCGACAAGCTGCAATGGGGCGGATGGAACAGAAACATGAGACAAGATGCGTTATATGATTTGGGATTTGATCAATACGATCTGCTAATTAAGCTTCTTGCCTTCCTTTTCGAAGTGAGACACGAAGGCGTGGTCAGGCAAACGTTGGCCCTTACCCCATCGCCTCGTGGTGCTCCATTCGGCGCAGGACCAAGTGGGACAATCTGATCGGCAAATCAACTCTTGCCCTCGTTGTATGCTTTCCAAAGCAGCTAACAGTGCAAACCATGGCCGCAATAGTCAGCAATAGTCAGCAGCTCTCTTTTTGACAGAACCTTTGAACCACCTGGCACCTGGCACTAAGCATCAGTGCAGCTGGCCTTCAACGGGGGCCTCGCGACAGAAAGTTGCATCCAAAATGGACCCACCTTCGGGGCCTGGAGCTTGCGCGAGCCCTAACCGTGTGCCTCAAGCGGTGCCTCAAGCGGTGCCTCATCAGCTTCAGGGGGCCGGTCATCGCTGTGCGACCCGCAAAGTATGAAGCTAATCAGCAACAGGAAGCCAAGCATGCCTTGTGAACCAAGTGGGGCATATGCACCCCATCCACATTCCGGTCAGCATCTTTTGTCAGGCATTGTGGAGTCATATGCTAGGTTCAAACGACACAGGACCGGTCTGCAAGCTGTTGACAACGAGACCAGCAAACGCGCTTTGATATATGCCAAGTCATCCTGAATAGCAGTATCTGGCAACACTGCGAATATTCCACCTTTAATTATGTTCAAACTGCACACTGCAACCCAAAACAAAACATGAATGAATGATATAGTTGTGCAGCCAAATGCCTTGCCAAGTTGCCAGAATGACAAAATGGGAGCCTTCGTTCAGCAGGGCAGGCAGCCGTAACAAAGGAGTGGGTGAACAAGGGCCTGCCACTGAACAGAAGGCCCAACCAGCAACCCATGAGTCTCCGCTCCCTGCGACCGAAAGGCATCCAATGTCTCGTCAAGGCCATGGCACGCCCACAGGAGGCGGTCTGGGTTTCGGGAAGGGCACAAACGGAGTCGGGGAAAACCTGGACGGGGAAGGATCCAGTGTGAGTTAGGGGGTGGTGGGTCAAGCAATTACCCCTCACTCAAATCATCAAAGTCCTCACCCATCACCCCGCACCTGGACAGGCGCTCCATGACGAAGCGACATGGCGGGATCATGGTGGTCCGGTGGCGGGGCTTCTCCAGCTTCCTTGGCGTGGCTCTCAGTAAATCCTGAGATTTCGAATCCGCCCAAACCAGTAGGACTGTATGGAAAAAAGGTCCCCAAAAAAGATGTATGCACTACTGCACTGTTGATGCAGGTCTGCAGGCATTCACAATTAGTTGGCTGGTTTCCACTTCAGGGGCAGAGGGCAATGTCGTCGCTGAATTCACAAGGCCTGGGCCTGGTCGATTTGGATGCTTTGTCCAACCAACCCAAACAAAATCGACAACCCTTTCAGCTTTTCGTGGCAGTGCCATTTTGGGTGTTGACCAATGTGACAGGTACTATTTTGGCGGGGTGCGGATTTATTTTGGGAATTTTTTTCGTTTTTTTTTGGGATTTTTTTTCGTTTTTCGTCCGGGCCAGCAAAATGTTGTATTTTACAGCATTTTCTCGCGAAATTGACGCATTTACACTAGCTCGTCAACATCCCCAGCATCGTTTTCAACATCCCCCGCATGTCCGACCAACATCCCTAGCATCACCAACAAATCGTGGGTAACAAAATCCAAAAATGTAGCTGGCGGGTTGACGGGGTCAAAACAATAACGCTTCAAACAGGAGGGCATTTCAATCCCAGCAAAAAAATACAAAAAAAAACAACTAAGAAAAACAGAGCGGGGTAGTGATGATTCGAACAGGGGTGCAATTAAATCTCTGCAAAAAGTCTAAAAAGTAGCGGGGGGGTTGGGGGGGGGCGGCAGCCCCCCCATGATGTTCGAAGAATTGATGATTCAATTAGGGGTGCAATTAATTAAATCTCTGTAGAAAATCTAAAACGTAGCGGGGGGGCGGCAGCCCCCCCATGATGTCGGAAGAAGTGGTGATTCAAGTAGGGATGCAATGATTCAAGAAAGGGTGTGATAGAATTTAAAAGGCAGCGGTAAGGTTGGCGGGGGTGGCTTCCCCTATGATGTTCGAAGAAATGCATACATACAGACATACACGGACTACACAGATTACCTAAAATGTCGTATTTTGCAGCATTTTCTCGCGAAATTGGACGCTCGAAAAAGTGATAATTCAAACAGGGGTGCAATTCAATCTCTGCCGGGCCAGTAAAGTGTCGTATTTTACAGCATGTTCTCGCGAAATATACCCCGCATGTCCCACCAACATCCCTAGCATCACCCACAAATCGTGTGACGGGGTCAAAGAAATGATGATTCAAGTAGGAGGGCATGTCAATCCCTGTAAAAAAATATAAAAAGTAGCGGGGGGGTTGGGGGGGGCGGCAGCCCCCCCCACGATGTTGTTTGCAGAAGTGATGATTTGAATAGGGGTGCAATTAAATCTCTGCAAAAAGTCTAAAAAGTAGCGGGGGGGTTGGGGGGGGCGGCAGCCCCCCCATGATGTTCGAAGAATTGATGATTCAATTAGGGGTGCAATTAATTAAATCTCTGTAGAAAATCTAAAACGTAGCGGGGGGGCGGCAGCCCCCCCATGATGTCGGAAGAAGTGGTGATTCAAGTAGGGGTGCAATGATTCAAGAAAGGGTGTGATAGTGTTCGAAGAAATGCATACATACAGACATACACGGACTACACAGATTACCTAAAATGTCGTATTTTGCAGCATTTTCTCGCGAAATTGGACGCTCGAAAAAGTGATAATTCAAACAGGGGTGCAATTCAATCTCTGCCGGGCCAGTAAAGTGTAGCATGTTCTCGCGAAATTGACACATTTTACACTAGCCCGTCAACATCCCCCGCATGTCCCACCAACATCCCTAGCATCACCCACAAATCGTGTGACGGGGTCAAAGAAATGATGATAGGAGGGCATTCAAAAAAGTAGCGGGGGGGTTGGGGGGGGCTGCCCCCCCCACGATGTTGTTTGCAGAAGTGATGATTTGAATAGGGGTGCAATTAAATCTCTGCAAAAAGTCTAAAAAGTAGCGGGGGGGTTGGGGGGGGCGGCAGCCCCCCCCATGATGGTCGAAGAATTGATGATTCAACTAGGGGTGCAACCCCCCCATGATGTTCGAAGAATTGATGATTCAACTAGGGGTGCAACTAATTAAATCTCTGCAGAAAATCTAAAACGTAGCGGGGGGGTTGGGGGGGGCGGCAGCCCCCCCCATGATGTCGGAAAAACGCCACCTGCCGAAGAGGAACTGGGAATGCAGAGGATGCGAAAAGCCAAAAAGCCACCAAAAGCCGCATAAACGAGCAAAAAGCCTAGAAGCTTAGAAGCCGAGAAGTCAAGAAGCCGAGAAGCCGAAAAGCCAAGAAGCCAAGAAGCCAAGAAGCCAAGAAGCCAAGAAGCCAAAAAGCCAAGAAGCCCAGAAGCCGAGAAGCCGAGAAGCCAAGAAGCCAGGAAGCCGAAAAGCCAAGAAGCCGAAAAGCCGAAAAGCCAAGAAGCCAAGAAGCCGAGAAGCCGAGAAGCCGAGAAGCCAAGAAGCCAAGAAGCCAAGAAGCCGAGAAGCCAAGAAGCCAAGAAGCCAAGAAGCCAAGAAGCCAAGAAGCCAGAAGCGAAAAAAATTCCCAAAAAAAAACGAAAAAAATTCCTAAAATAAATACCCCTCCATTTTGGCGACTCGCCCCATTGTTTGTTGGAAAATCAATATTAAACCATTTCCCTTGTGGAAAGTGCGGGAGATTCCAAGAAACGCCACTCATTCACAACAACCACAACCACAACCACAGCCAGAATCGACTCGTGTTCTTTCTTATGTTCCCGGAACATCCTTCACAAGGGAGTCCTAATTACATAGATGACACCAATCAGCCCTCGAGCGTGGTCATCCCACATGCACCAAAAATCAGTGGCCACATCGCCCAATTTGTTGGGATGCCTCAAAGTACAAAAAGCCTTGGCATGTGCCGCTACTCTGGGATCCACGCGTCGCCACTCCCCAGCACACAACGCCCACCCCACGCCCTTCGCCCCAAAAAGAAGAAAGACTTGGCTCAGCGTCTTGGTGGGCTTCGGAAAGGAGACCTCACGGCGGCCAAGGCGCAATCACACCACAATTTGGCTGCCTGAATCTGGGTCTGACCAATTCATTGCGTTTGGTCGGGAAACCTCCCTGAAGCCGGAATCTCAAACCGGTACCTTCGATTGACCAATGGTTGATTGCTTCACATTGGCCTACACATTGGAATCCTCCTGAATGGTTGGTAGTAACCGTTGCGAATGTTTCATCCTGAGGCGGCCTCGACACATCTCATAAACACACACACACACAAACACACAGGAGTACAAGAACTTGCAAACCTCAAGCGCCATGCAAGTCCTAGCAGTCAAAGAGCTTTGCCCAAATAGCAACACAACGGCAAGACAGAAGCGGACTCTGCGTCCTCTGACTCTTCCTTTCGTTGTCCCTGCGTGAGTTTTGGAGCTTCAGGCTTCACATTTTCTGTTGTGGTCGCTGTGCATATGTTTAGTGCCTGCTCCAAAACGTGCTTCAATGAGTTGGGGGGATGAGTCTGGCATCTAGCATTGCTGGCTGGGTTGGGCTGCAGCAAGCCAATTCCATTCCTGCAGCTTTTGTTGTTCTGCTGGCTCTCAGGAAGGTACAAGTGAGAAGGGGACGGCCTTTTAACTACAAACAAACCAAGAAGTGGACACATGGCGGATTTCCAAACACCGGTGGACTGACTCCTCGAAGCTTGTTAAGTAGCAAACGCGCCCGACGCATGAGTTCGGCCTGCGCAAAGCCATGTCAACACATCCCTTGCTAGTGTTTGCGGCTCTTGCTTTTAGAAGGCCATAAAGATGTATGAGCGATCACGTCAGTCAGCTTACACCAAACAAAAGGTGGAGGTAATGGGCTCTGGGGGTGCTTCACAACGACGTAGCCTGTCGAACGATCGAATTGAGGACTCTGTGCGCCTTTAAGGGGACGTGAATACCGAACAAACCCAGAGAGTAGGCGATCTCCGCGCAGCTCTTCATGTGAGCCAGGTAAGCCTGAGTTGTTCTGCCCTCCGGAGCACGCCTGCCTCCACGCCATTTTGAAGCAAGATGGGTTTGCACTCCTTGGGAATGGACTTGTGCATGATGCTGCAATTCCTTGGATGCCAGGGAAACAGGCAGGATATGCCTGTATAACCCAGCCGTGCGAAACGAAGGCCGCCAAGCTCAATCAGACGGGTCACCAGTCACCAGGGCAAACAGCAAACACGTACCAACAAGCAACGACACCAGTGCTCAAACAACAAACTGCAAAAACAACAGAAAGAAACAAAAAACAGGCGAAGTACCAACAAACAAGAAACGACAGCCAACAACCAGCCAACGCAAGCACGGGCAACTTCAACAGCCAGCAGCCAGCAGCCAGCAGCCACCACCACTACCACCACCGCCACCGCCACCGCCGCGGACAACCCAAACAATAACAGAAGTGGCATCAGCAACAACAGCAACAACCTCGAACACCAACAATAGCACCCACAACCACCACCAACATCAAACAACCAACAACCAACAACCAACAACCAACGCAACCAACAACAACAGCCACAACCACCACCACAACAACAACCACAACCACAACCACCACACCACCACCACCACCACAGCAGCAGCACCAGCAGCAACAACAACAAGAAGAAGAAGAACCAGAACAACAATAATAACAAAAACAACAAAAACAACCACAACCACAACCGCAACCGCAACCACAACCACAACAACGACAACGACAACAACAACGACAACGACGACAACAACAACAACAACAACAACAACAACAACAACAACAACAACAACAACAACAACAACAACAACAACAACAACAACAACAACAACAACAACAACAACAACAACAACAACAACAACAACAACAACAACAACAACAACAACAACAACAACAACAACAACAACAACAACAACAACAACAACAACAACAACAACAACAACAACAACAACAACAACAACAAACAACAACAACAACAACAACAACAACAACAACAACAACAACAACAACAACAACAACAACAACAACAACAACAACAACAACAACAACAACAACAACAACAACAACAACAACAACAACAACAACAACAACAACAACAACAACAACAACAACAACAACAACAACAACAACAACAACAACAACAACAACAACAACAACAACAACAACAACAACAACAACAACAACAACAACAACAACAACAACAACAACAACAACAACAACAACAACAACAACAACAACAACAACAACAACAACAACAACAACAACAACAACGACAACGACAACGACAACGACAACGACAACAACGACAACGGCGACAACGTCGACAACGTCGACAACGGCGACAACGACGACAACAACGACGACGACGACGAATACGACAACGACAACGACAACGACAACGACAACGACAATCACAACAACGACGACAACAACGACAACAACGACAACAGCGACAATGGCGACAACGGCGACAACGGCGACAACGACGACAACGACGACAACGACGACGACGACAACGAATACGACAACGACAACGACAACGACAGCGACGGCGACAACCACAACCACAACCACAACCACAACCACAACCACAACCACAACAACAACAACAACAACAACAACCAAACAACCAAACAACCAAACAACCAAACAACCAAACAACCAAACAACTAAAAAAGCAAAAACCAAGCAACCAAACAACCAAACAAACAAATCAAGCAACAGCAGCAGCAGCGACAGCGGCAACAGCAGCAACAGCAACAGCAACAGCAGCAGCGACAGCAAGCACAACAGCAGGGGCAACAAGAACAAGAACCAGATGTCCGGTTACTACGCCAGCCAACGAGGCAGAGAAGTTCCAGAACCAGGCTTGTTGCCAAAACTAAGACGCCTTTTTGCACACTGGAACGCACACGTTGGTGAGGGGCGCGTTCGCTTGCTTCTTGTGTTCGATTGCGAGGGGCCATGTCAACACCAAGGAGGAAACGCAGAGTCTAACTTTACAGGCTCAGAAGCCGGGCTGCAAGTCCAGGCTTTTGTGTCAAAAGTGCAGCGAGTCTTGCAGAAACACAAACACAAGAACAAACAAAAAGAAACAGACAAAAAACTACCGAACAAAAACAAACAAACGCCCTGAAGCAGCAGCAGCCGCCGCAGCAGCGCCAGCAACAGCTGGCCACCAACAAAACAACAAGAATAGCAGCGAGGGTGTTAGAACGCTGCGCCAAGGTACCTGTACTTGTGAATGAAGCTGTCCAGGCCCTGGGTCGTAGACCATTGCACGTTGAAACGGACTTCATCGTTGCAAGCGAGCGCGCTGACCAGCTGCTGCCCTGCCGCCGGAGAAACGCAATTCACGAAGCCATAGGCGAAACCTGGGCAGACCGCGTCCAAGAAGAGGAACCACACGCAAGCCAATGTGGGGGCGCGTAATCCGCCAACCCCTCCTGCTGTCAGCCTACTCACACCGAGGAGGGGACCGGCGTGGTTTACAACTGTTGAACTAGGCAACCCCGTGCGCTGCGCGGTCCTTGTTTTTTTCCACTTGGTTTTTGGGCCTTGTGGTGCGCGCGCGCGCCCCCGCTGCTATTTACAGTGTTTTGTTGCATTTGCGTTTCCGGGCTGGCTTGCGAGTTGTTCTTTTTCGGCTGGTCGTTCTGGGGGCCTCTGGGGGGCGCGCGCGTCCATGTGATTTGACTCGGTTGGGGCCCTGCTGGGGCTCAAAAAGCTGACATTCCCGGCATCATCTAGGATATGTTGATGGCTGCAGTGGGCAAAATGCCTAATCTAACCAAGCACGTCATAGCATATCATAGCACTGGATACGTTTCACAGAAGTAACGTGACATGACATGGTAAATGCTATGGCTGGAGTGGGCAACATGCATAACCTAACAGGACATATCATAGCATAGGATACGTTTCACACACCATAAAATGGCATGACACGCTATAAAATGACATGAAATGGTATAACAAAGCGGCGTAGCCGGGTAGAGGCCGCAGGCCCAAAAGGTTTGATGAATTTTCTGGCTCCCGTGATATCACGCTGGCGGCTGTGCATCAAAGGTTTAAACGAAGGGCGATTGGGGGCATGCATGTGGCAAAAACAAACAAACAAATTGGAGGGTAGCCATGCCTTCAATCGTAAGATGTGCTTATGTCCGTAAGAGGGAAATACTGGGTGATGTCACGCTACGCGATAGTCTTGCCCTGGAAAGACAGGTGCTGTGAAATTGGAACTGTATGCAACATGCAGTGTTGGGGCCACGTGCTCAGGCATCTACAAAAGGGTGCAGAAGGTTACAAGTCAAAGCAAACAAGCAGAAGCACAAAAACCTGCAAAAAACACCGTTGTGCTGACCGGAGCCAGGCCAAAGATGATCAAATTATGTGTCTCCGTCACTGCCCTCACAACTTGGAACTTCAAGAAATCGCAACATGCAGAAACAGAAATCGTGTGGGGACGCCGTAGAAAGTCGAAAACTTGTACCCAGACTTGGCAGACATCTCATGAATTAGACTCAAACCTAGGCTGATTACTCGCCCTGCCGTTCCTCAACTGTTTTCAGAGGCGAGACAATAGTTGAAGACTGCATTTTGGCTTTGTCCTAACGGGCAAGTTGCTGATGTGGTTTCCGGCCGGCAGATAAATCGGAACGTAGACGAAGTCGAAGAAGCCACTTAGGCCCATGGCATCTAGGCAGTCCTGTCAGCAATGCAATACGGACATGTCTCTCTGCAAATCTGAATCGACCATCACTAAATATCTGTTTGTGCACTTAACGCGGTTCTGCAGTGCACGATACAGGGCAACAAGGCACTGCTTCCAGCATATAGTTGTTCTTTTCAGTATCGGATTGTGGCAAGTGGCACCGACACAATCGGATTGAACACTTCAGAGAGCACCTCGTTCAAGTCGATTAGAAGTGAGAAAGCATAGTAAACGTGCACTTGGTCAGCTTACAGGTCGAGCCTGCGCAAGCCAAGTCAAAAGCCACCGGTGGAAGCCCCAGGCCCTAGATATGGCTGTACGACAAGAAAACAATGAGGCCTCTGATACAGTCTGCAAACTGGGTCTAGGACTTAGGTCAATAAGAGAGTGGCGCTTCTCACTTCTTGCTCAATCATGCTTGCAGCTCCCATGAAACGACGAGCCGCGAAGCGGTGCTGTGTCCACTTAGCTGCATGGCCGGTTGAGGCAAAAGAGCTTGGAGTAGACCGCCAACATATTTGGTGCTGCGCATAAGTTGGAAAAAAGCCGTGGAGTGCTTAAGGCAGCCCGGTTTCGGGGTCACAAGCGCCACGCAGAATTGACGCGTTCAGATTGGTGTCAAACACAACAAGCGCGCAATCTCTGAGTCCAGACATTGAGCAATGCGGTGTAAAGAAAATTGGCCTTCTCAGGTTGGCTCAACTCTGATGTCAAGAGCTGATGCTGAAAGAGGCACGCAGAATAGCCCTTTCAGATCATCCGAAGCGGAACAAGGACCCAAACTCTGGCGCCAAACAACGAGCAATGTGCAGACTTCACCCTTTCGGTTTAGCCAAATCATGTGTTGAACAAAAGGTGCGATCTCTGGCCGGGATACATGTTCACACTCAGGAAGTGGTCGGAAGTGTTTGGAAGTGGTCGGGAAGTAGTGGTCGGGAAGTGGACCAGAAGTGGGGTCGGAGAAGTGGGGTCGGAAGTGGTCGGGAAGTGGACGAGAAGTGAAATCGGGAAGTGGTCGAGAAGTGGACCAGAAGTGGGGTCGAGAAGTGAAATCGGGAAGTGGTCGAGAAGTGGTCGGAAGTGGCCGGGAATTGGTCGGGAAGTGGGGTCGGGAGTGGTCGGGAAGTGGTCGGAAGGGCACGAAGTGGTCGGAAGTGAGAAAGAGAGAGCAAAAGAAAGCGAGAGAGAGAGAGAGAAGGAGAGGGAGAGAGACAGAGAAACAGAAAGGGGATAAAACAAAAAAACAGAGAAGAAGAAAGAGAAAGAGCAAGAGCAAGAGAGCGAGAAACAGAAAGAAAGGGGGAGAGAGAGGGAGAGAAAGAGAAAGAAAAAGAGACAGAGAAAGAGAGGGGAGGGCGGGAGAGAAAGAGAAAGAGAAAGAGAAAGAGAGGTAGAGAGAGAGAGAGAGAGAGAACAAGAGAAAGATAAAGAGAAAGAAAAAGATAAAGACAAAAATAAAGAGAAAGATAAAGAGAAGAAGAAAGAGAACGAGAAAGAAAAAAATAAAGAGAAATACAAAGAAAAAGAGAAAGAGAAAGAGAGATAGAGGGAAAGTGGGAGAGAGAGAGAGAGAGAGAGAGAGAGAGAGAGAGAGAGAGAGAGAGAGAGAGAGAGAGAGAGAGAGAGAGAGAGAGAGAGCTAGAGAGCCAGCGAGCTAAGCACTGAAGGTTACGAAACGTAAGAAACCTTACAGCACGTCAGCTTGCCGAATGTTCGGCTGAAGTCGGAGTCCCAATTACTGAAGTGCAAATGAGCTCACAAAGGAGATAGTCTTCTATGGTGTTTGAGTATCTGGAGGCATCGAGGCTCTCGTTTCTGGCTCTCTGAGATTCGATGTGACCTGTCTTGGTTACTGGTGGCAGAGCAGCTGCCCGGCTGCGCCTTGAACAAAGACTTCGGAGAGACTGGCCACTGACTTCCCATAATTCTGAATCTTCCCACCCGGAAACGCAGCTTTGGTTCATTAAGCGCTCCTTTTTGCGGGCTGAACTCTGGCCAAGTGGTTTCAAGGTTGGCTTGCCTGTCCTTCAGCATTTGCCCGTTGAAGTCCTGTGGCAGCCCGCAGAGGCGGAGACTCGTGCGGGTCTCCAAGTCACTCATCAGCTCCTGGTGAGAGTAACTCAAGCCAAATGACTCATGGCCCCTTCTCTAGGGAAACGGGCCAGAGTTGTGCGCAATGTCTGCTTAGGGTCTGTGTACAAGGTCTCTTGAGAGGGTGTCGATGGGCAGCCCTCTGCGAAATCTGGCTGCAAGATCTCTCACACGACGCGACCGACGCGACCAAAGTCCGCAAAGAGTTCAAGTTCAGTGTGAGAAACTTGCGCCACGCCACACATTGAGCGATCTGCGGAGCACTCAAAGTCCGCAGAGGGAGAGCGATCCGACGCGACCAAAGTTCGCAATTCGACGATAGAAATTTGCACCGTGCCACAGCGACGGCGAGCCAAGGCGGCCAAAGTCCGCAGAGGCTTGCTTCGATGTCCAACATTCGCAGTGGCGCGAGCGATCGAACACGCCCAAAGTCTGCAGGGTGCACCCATCCACCGTTTGCAGAATTAGCACGGCGCCACAGCGAGAGCGCATCCCGACACAGACCCTGCGAGACACCCACTTTTGCAGACTGTGCGGTGACAAGTCACTCAATCAGCAGAAAACAAAATCTTGGACAGGGTGATTGGGTTCGTTGCCTCCAAGCTGGTCACCTGCAAAACACATCGATGTCCCCCTGCGGTCTTGCGCCCGCACCTTGGGCACCGTGGTGAATCTAGCCGCGAGCCGCAGGGAAAGCCGGAGTGAGCAGCTCCTAAGAATAATTGAATAGATCAATGTTGCAGGAACCTACGGCCGAAACGCAGCGGATCACGACATCTGTCTGTTCAAGCGTTGCCAAGCAAGGGCGCGAGATTCTCGATGGTCATGACATGTCATGACATTCAAGATGACCAACCGCTGCACCACGAGTCAGAAACAAACTGAAAGCCGAAACAAGTTTTCAGTTCGATCCGGAATGCCTTGGGCTCAAAGGTGGACAGCCGGCCGAAGGCCTGCGAGGTCAGGCCGGTCAAAAACAGGGAACCGTTTCAGTAACATTTTGCACCGCCAGGGGTCGGGGCTCAAAAGGGGTTGTCATCCACCTCAAATGGACGGACAGAAAAAGACTCAACGAGGTGCTGCAACGACTGACTGTCACCCCTCGTTGCGAAGTGCACATGAAGCGCGCTTTGTCAATGCCATCAGGTCTACTTATACTCTGTTCATGGGGAATGGCCCATCGCCCTCAGTATTTGCTCAATTTTGTTCAAGCCCCTGTGGGCAGGAACCAAACTGATTGAATTTGGGGGGGGTGGAAATGAAGGGACCAAAATGGATCCGCCCTATAAGACCTTCGGAAGCGCTGATCCAAACGAGTACTTTGGGCAGTCTTCTAGGTTTGGGCAAGGCTGGTCCTCATCTGGCCGGTTTCCCGCCTCCCCTGGGGACAGCTCCTCCCGCAGCACCGGAGTTGCCTCCGGTAGGGGAAACTGACCATCCCTAGCCGGGTGTGCCAACATTTTGCGCCAAACGCTAGCTAGACATACACTTTGGTTACCTGCTGCGCCACGTAGCTGTTGCTCAAGAGTTTTATTAGCTCTGGTTCACACCAGCCTCATGGCTTCTTCCTCATGTGTCCATTCGTTGCTAACACTGCTCCATGATTGTCCCGCCAAGACAAATGGTATATAGCTTCGCTCAAAACAGGCGTTCGGCACCTTGTCTGAAAACAAACATGTGCTGGTTCTTGATTGCAGCTGCTCCTGAGGTCTGTCATTATCTCCAGTTGCAGTTGTGGGCAAACATTTTCCTGGTTTCCTTGAATCTCAATCTTGCACGATCACCGAGAGCCGTCATGTTAGCATTCGCTTTCGGAACCTCGGCTTGCAAATAGGCAAAGCGCCGTTGCTCGAAGCAAACGGCTGGCCAACCATGGCAGTTGGTTTGCTTGGCGTAGCAAACCAAATCCAAACGTGCAGCCCTGCCTCAAACGGCTCCCTGAATTCATTGTGTGTCATTTTCTGCCAACTGTCCCCTCAGAACACAACGCTAATCTCTGTGTGAAGTCCAAGCCCTGCGACGTGTTTCTGCCCAGCGCACCGAGAAGAGCACTCCGCAGGAGACCGCGGGCCTCTGGCGCGTCCAGCAGTGTGTCAGGTGAACTCCTCTGGGGCATTTGATCGTGCAATGTGTTGTGAGGAATCTCCATGCGAACCAACAGTTCAAACCATGGTCTAACCACAAATTCGATAATTACACTGTACCGTGCTATCTTTCTTTCTGATGACTGCCAAAACATGCTCAAACGTGTGCCATGAAAGGCTCAGCGTCGTACAACGGATCTTCAAGGCATCAGTTTTGCCACCCCACTCACTTGCTAATATAGGAAACACACGATTGCAGCCTGGAAAGCTCAAACAAACCAGCAAGGCATTGAGATGGTTACAAAGGAGTTTAGTATTGGAGTGTGAAGGAACTAGAGATCATTGAGCCGGGGACGGGCTGCCCTCCACCCCGGTCAAAACGAGGCCGCCACTCTCTGGACTTCCTGCAGAGTTCGACGCAAAGCTGGCATGCCCAAGGAATCCATTGACCCACTCCAGGTGCTTTGTAGTCACCTCAAGTCAGAAGCAACCTCAGCATGCGATCAATCGACCCATGTTTTTCTCCGCCTGGCTATCTGCAAGCTCTATACCATGCTTAGATGCCTGGCATGCTCAACAAACAATTGTTCTCATTGCCAACAAGTTTCCAAGCTCCAATCTCACACAATGGAACTGATGAGGATGCTCTTACAAGTGCTCCATAGCCACATTTTCTTGCGCCGTTGCCGCTTTACATGCTGTAGCCCTGCCCAATTCGGGCCTACCTGGTTCGTTCTTGGGCCCATCGATTGGCGCAAACATCTCCACAGCAACCAGCCAGTCTGCCTGTTCCTGTGTTGCAATGATGCCTTTCCGTGAATTGTTTGATGTTCTAGCCTTGCGACGCCCCTCACCCCCCGCCCCCCCGGGAGCCGAAAAACTTTGACTTATCGCAAGGTGCTGAAGGAGTCGCGCAACTGTGACCCCCAATATCAATTCGGCATAGTTTATGAGTAATCCTTCGACAGCTTCTGATGGACTTCAATTCTCTCCCTGTCGTTCTTGATCAATGAACGCAAGAGCACTCGCAATGAGAGCGATTCGCTGCCTTGTGGCAAGCGGCCGGATCGCCCATGATGCGAGGCTAAATTCAAGCCGGCACTGAGCAGGAACAAGGACCTGCAGTGTGAGCGTCGTGGAGCGCAGGCTGAGGCAAGCCCCACGTGCCAAGCAGGGTGTGCTGGCTAAGGGCGAGAAGAGCCAATCTGGGGACAGCTCTAAGTCTTAGACACGACCCCAAACAAAGGAATGAGCACATGCTTTATCAAAGCCTTTTCTCCTCGGATGAACCACGGTCGCGCCTCCGGGCGCCGGCTTATATTGGTACTTACAGATTGCTTTGAAGGAAAAACAAATCTTAGGCTAGCATGGCCTGTCCGGTGCAGCAGATTTTGGCTTGACCAAAACGGCACAGCGGCGGGCAAGCATGCTTAACAAAGCAATGATACCTCACCAGCCTGCCAAGGTTGAAGGATCCGAATGCCTTGTCAAAGCAATGCGCTATCCTTTTCTCCTCAGATGAACCAGCTCTGGAGGCCCCCGCCCTACATTGGTACTTACAGAGAGCTTTGGATCTGCCAGGGTCCCACCCGCGCCCGTGCGCTTCGAATGTGCGACGCGGGCGTCTGCTTCTTCCCGCAGCATGAAGATGTCCGGCTTGATCGGGACCAATCGCAAACCATCCGGGCATACCAGCAGGGATCCGGCTGGCAGGGCTTGCCTGGGCTGCATCCGGCGCTGCCACAAACTTGGCAAGTCCGTTCTGGTCGCAGCATGTGTTGAGGCCTGCACCGAAAATTTTGTCCCAGCAGCCTGATGATCCATAGAGTTTGGCGGCCAGGCCCGGCGCATGAGGTCGGGCACCTTGCTCTCGAGGCAGGGTCTGATTGTGTCTGCACCTCGCTCAGTCTCCTTGCTGATCCATTGGTGCTTGGCGACAGCGCGGGTTCTCAGATCGAGTCGTCCGCCACATTGTCGACTCTGGTCACCACGCTCTCGGACTTCAGGCTCTTCTGTGCGAAACACGAGGAGGACGCAGGGCGCTTTCTTCTGCGGTCAAGGCTTCCCAGTTGTGACTACGTGGAGGTTCCTGGGATGAGGCGTAAGCATCTGCAGCGCGCTGAGTGGCGCAAACTGCGACGCCAAGGGCAAGGCTGAAAAAGGGCAGACCGGAGATTCTGGCAATCATGAGCGATTACCTCACCTTTGCTTGTGCCTTTGCAGAGTTGGATGCAGGGCCAGCAGCCAGAAAGATCCCTCCAGCGTCAGCGCCACCATGGAAGCCTTCCAGGCCTCAGCCACAGCTCGACCAGCGTCACTCAAGGCTTCCTCATACGACAAGAATAAGAACGCCAGGTCTGAGGGAGTCTCGATCGCACCAGCTCCACCTTGAGCGCATCCTGGCGCAGGAGGGTCTCTGACCCATCCATGGCACCGGGGAGGGGCACAAAGCAAATCTTAGCCTGGCAGGACCTGTCCGGTCCAGTAGCCTGCCTGGCTATTTTGGCTTGACCAAAATGGCACAGCGGCGGGCATGCTTAACAAAGCAATGATACCTCACCAACCTGCCCAAGCCTGAAGGATTTCAAGGTCGATGCCAGGCCAAAACAACGAATGCAAGCTTCCACCCAACGCGAACATAGGCTTGTCCTATTGACCAGCAGTAATCATCACAGCATAAAGAGGCTACAGTATGAAAGTGTCCAACTTTTAAAGCCTCTCCTATCAGCACAAACACCTCTTGACTTGTAAGAATTAAGTGTTCGACTTTAGGTGTGGTCACAGAGAATAAACCTTGGAGGCAGGCTAGATCATGCCATCTCACCCCCAGGCCCCAGGATGATGCAGCCTGCCTAAGCATCGCCATGAATGCGCCCACAGCCTCCTGAGAAAGCAACGGTGCGCCCGTGCGTTGGCCATCACCTTAATGGAACAAGCACACGTCATTCGACAAGAAGTATATTCCGAAGTCATCTTCCAAAGTCATCTATATATGTTTTTTTACGTATATCTACAAAACACAAGATGTGCAAGGCTTGCCAGAGCCCCCGCAAATCCGAGGCCTCCGATGCAAGGATACGTCTCCCTGCTCGATGTGGAATGCAGTTTGGTCCTTTGGGTTAGGAAGCTTTATGTTGCAGTGGCAAGCTCATAGCTGCAATCATCTTAGGCATCCAGATCATTACGGGGATAGTGCATGTACCCCTGGTTCTTACGTACCCTTGGTCGGGGTTTTGGGGGGGGTTACCGAAACGGGACAAAATGATGCATGTGAAAATGTATCTGCATGTATATAAGTATATAAACATTGTGTCACGGTTGATAGGTGAATCTCTTGTTGCACTGCAACTGAACCCATCGGCGCAGCGTTTGGCCAAGCTACCAGACCAAAATGCCAGCTCCTACCGGGTGACTCCAACATTACATGACCTCCTCATTGATCTCATTCAAGTGCAATTCAGAAACATGACCTTCCCATCATGTAGAGGGCTCAGTCAACCCTTCTTCCCCGGATTCGAACCTATATACACACGGAAAATCAAGTAACCCCTCGACTCGAATCGGCCCTCACTCAGTTCAGCGTTTGCAACTCCAAGTTCAGGGCCAAAAGGTCCCAAGCGAAAAGTCCCCAGCGTTCCTCCTGCTCCACCGCGCTCAGCTTCGAGGCCCGAAGCTGCCGAGAGCAGAGCGCCAGCTGAGCCGCGGGACCGGGAGAATGCCCACGCACTCGCGCCCGAAGGAAAGGGATGAGGACGGGAGGACGAGAATGGGACGAGAATGGGAACGGGAAGAGCGTTGATGAGCGGTGATGGGAATCTATACAAGCTGGGAACGGATGTGTCAACTGATTCTTCCACCTTCAATATCTTACATTGAGAGCAGAGCCAAATGTAACACTCTGGCTACTGGTATATGTCGCTCGGGAACCTTTTCTGGTACGATGCTTGGACATTGAAGATGAATTGCTTGTATCTAGGGCATGTGCTGCAGTAGGTGGTCCACCCCGACCTTGCAAGGCTAGCGTTTAATCATCGCCCTGAATTTGCCGCCCTTAGAAGTACCATCTCAACACGGCCTGTTGGTGCTTTGGCTGGGAATTCGGAATCCATTTTGTCCACTCTCCGCATGTACATCACGTGCTGTTCATCTTTGAGTAAAATGGATCATATCCTGCAACCAGTTGGGCTGAAACTTGCTCAGTGAAACTTAATCACAGCAAGTGATGTCGCTCAGTTGGCACAAACTAGTACTCTATCCGAGAAAAACTGGGTCAACCTTGACATATTGTCTTTATTTCTCCTCGCACTACCATCCCTCTTCAACCTTGATTGTGAACAGTCCTTTTTGCCCTGGCTACACACAATGGCAGCGATGCACTCGTACACCCAATTGCTATGACTAGCAAACCCGGCTTCAGAAAAGCTGCTGAGATCCCAACAAGCAGATTCGAGGTACACTGGTTTACCTCTCTGCAACTGTGTGGGGAACCACTGCACGCTGTAGTTGGGAGGATGTCGACTATCTCACAAGAAAGCCATCAACCAGAAACAAAACATCCAGGATTTGACACATTCATTCCACCCCAAAGTGGAGACACTTCGCTTCAAAGGGCCCCGGCCAGTCGCGGCGCCAAGTTCTGGAGGGTGGCCGCGTGCTGGGACGTCGCCTCCCGTTGCCGAGTCCGACTAAATTAAACAAACTTCTGTCAGCCATGTCAGTCAGCTTTCAGTTTCCCCGTATCTCCCCAATCACTTCCTTCGGTCTCGGGCCCCGCACCTCAGCGACTCGCGACACCCCCGCAGCCCTTCCCGGCCTCCAAGCCTTCCAGGTCCAGCCTGGGACCTAGCGGGGAGAGCTGGAGGAGAGCTGGATGCACGAAGTGAGCTGCCATTTTGCCGGGTGCTTCACACCGAGACATGCGGGGGCAGGTGTGGAAAGGGACTGAAGAAAGCAAACATATGCAGGAGTCCACGTAGTGACAGTGCCGGCCATGGGCTCAACCCGGGCCAACCAGCTTTAACAAAGGGAGACTTTCCAACCTTGCCACCATTCCCTGTGAGTCAAGTGAGCCTATGCCCTGCGAGCTGCAAAGCACAGCCAGCCAACCACCCAGCCAGCCAGCCAGCCAGCCAGCCATCCTGATACCCAAAGACCCACCAACACAAACGTGGCGTGACAAAGCAATTTCTACTTAGATCAAGAAATGCCTAAAGAACTCTAGACAACCACCCATAGCCAATGCTCTTTTGACCTTTGACCACACAGTAGACTTGGATCTGAACGTTGCTTTCCCTGTTGATCAACCAAGCAACACATTCAACAGCAGCTTCATAACTTGCTTTCATTTATGTTGCATGAGCTCTGCTGCGTGAGGGTTCCACTCAGCAGTATGCATCGGAATCAAAAGTTTGACTACTAGTGCTGAGATTAACCTGCAGGTTGAGCTGCAAAGGCGTGACGTACGAGTCTTTAGTTTGGGCACGACTGAAGCATACTTAAACTTGGATCGAACTAATATGGCGTCCATGCAAAGGCTCACGTGGTACCAAACAGAAGCACTGGTCGAAATCTACAGAATATCTCAGAGCGGTGGCAACTGCGGGTCAGCATGTGACTGAGGCAAAGGCTTCCCAAATTGATGCTGGAGCGGCCCCTGCAAGCACGAGGCATGTAGGAGACTGTGGCAACTGGGAAGGCTTGCTGAGTAAACCTTTCACGTGGTTCATTGCTTGGCAGAAAGCGCTCTGAAGAATAAACCGAACACGCAAATTTACTGCTGCATGGAGGAATCCTGCCCGACCCAAAAAAAAGCTTCGCAAAGACGCGCAAAGAGCAGAATGCAAACGGAATGCAAATATATAGTGGCAAAGTGTTCTGGCATCTTTCCCTTGATGCAAGAACTGTGCAAGAAGTAGCCACAACAGCGCCTTGAAACCATCGGCCTCTTGCTTGGTCATGAGTGTTTAGAAATGGATCACGTGGTCCCCGACGCTTTGACTGGCCGTCCATTCGTTATGGCATCATGTGAGCTGCAAGAACAACTTGCACATGGTCCGGGGTCATTCGAGGCCTACTCATCTGGCGTTCCAACATATGCTGAGGCCGAGATGGCAACCTGGATCCTTCAAAAGAGCGAAGAGTCAAAAGGATAAAGTCTTGAGACTACTGCATTGAGGCGACATAGTTTCACCGTTCCCTGTGTGCTGCTTGTCTTAGCTGGATGCGTAGATCCGTTGAAGACATGATTGCCCACTCCCATGAAAGTCTCGAAAACATGGGTGAACAGAAAACAGCTCAATCTAAACTTACAAGGCACATACAATGGATCAAGAATAAAGAACAGCGCTCTTGACACGGCCTCCCCAGTCCGACCCGGAGCCTCGGTCTTGCCCGGTCCCTGAGTCAAACAGACGAAGCGAGGGCCAAACATTGCGTTGGTTCTTCGTTGTACCAGGGAGTTTGTCCCTTTCGGATGCTGCAATGCTGCAAGAGCTTCACTTCTTCGGGCCAGCATTGCTTGTTCTGTTTTTCGCAAAGAGCTGTCAAAGTGATTGGCGGCCAAGCATGCTGAATAACATACCCTGCTGTTGCGAGCCGCATGGTTGTCACAGCGACCGTGCGCGGCAAGCTTGACTAGCATATCTTTTTCCTGTTGACATTCTTAAGTGCCAGTTGCACGATGACTTGCCAGACATGATCTGTCTGGAATAGGTCAGTCACTTCAGCGCTTGAGGTTCAAGATCCACGTATGTGCGCCTTGCTCCAATATATAAGGGGGAGTCATCCCTTTGACACGACATTAGGCGATGCTTGTTTGGGTCTCGCCTATGACCCAGACAGGAAAGTGTGTCACATGGCACAGTGACAGCCACGAATATGTGCCAAAATTACTGCATCGTCACATCTGTATATTCCAATGAGGAATTACCACTCTGGGGGCAGAGTGGTAAGGAACGAGCAAGCCAACGGCACGAGCGATCCAAGAAAGGCCGGGGTGATCAAAGAGCGCAAGCAAACCAAACTCAAGGACACCAGCATCCCTGGAACGTAGACCATGGCTCATGCGGAAGCCCGTTCCGTCAAGCGCTCAAGCCTGCAAAGCAAATCCAAGGCCCCGGCGCGAACCGAAAATGCGGAGATTGGCCTGGGGTTGGAATGATCTGCCTGTAGCCTGCCTTGCCATGGCTGTGATGGCTGTGCCAAATGTGAACTCTGCGTCCAAAAGGCCCGTCAGTCATAAAGAACCTCACTGTGACTTCTCTCACGTGAACCCACCAGAGGTGCTTTCATCTGAGGTGGGGTGTCCACATGGCTGTGTCAGGATAGCTTTCCTTGATATTCTGAGAAAGGCAAAGTCAGCATAGCATCTACCCTGGCAAAGAAAGATATGAGCATTGTTGGATAATAGGTGCAAATGGTGCAGAACATGACATTGTTTCAGACAGTTTTGGGCAATCACAGGATTTAGCGTATTTTGGCCGCAATCTTAGGACACTTTTTCCTGAGCTTTTCTGCCTGGCTTGGCTTGGAGGTGCTTCCAGGATAATATTGGACTTGAATAACATTCTCACCTCAACACAATTTGTCTTCCGGCCGGGGGCTCAACACATGCAGCAAGCACTCAAGAGACTTGGTTTCATCATAGCGAGCTGCGTGTCCACAGTCTCGCACTTAACAGGGGCGTCCCGTCCCAAGCAAGAACGTACACTCGATGGCAGTTGGCACAATTCTGTGGCCACTGCTGGACCCACAGGCCGCCTCACCCTGGCCACAGAGTCTCACCCTCCGGGGGCCCTGCCGGGGGTACGATCGCGTCCCGGGGTCTGGCCGCAGGATTTGCATATTGAGCATCTTTATGCCAGGGCATTCTGATCAACCAGAAACAATTCTCTGGAACCTCCTTGGGCCGCCCCAAACACAGAATTGGCCTTTTGCCCCAGCTGTCGCTGTTGGGGAAAGGGTGAATGCTGATTGCCACAAAGCAATCTTTGTTTGAACCAGGTTGTCGTCTGAGCCAAAAACCAACTGTCCTGGCAGAAGAAATGACCAAGCAGGTCTTTGGGTCCGGAGGAAAGAAAGGGAACAAAAGTGAGAGAGAGAGAGAGAGTTAGAATAAAAAAGAGAGAGAGAGAGAGATGGTATTCTCTGCTGCGCTTGGTGTTGGAAGAGTCACACAGGACCTCCGGGTCCTGCCAACGCCTTTTCTCGTGGTCTCTGATGGTCCAACCGCTTGCCCCGGCTGTGTACCCCTTGTATCCACTTACGTCTCCGTGAATACGACCCTTATCTATGATGTTATTTCCCCTTGTTATACTTGAGCTGTGGCAGTTTGCAGGGGCAGCTAAGGCGCGTGGTTGAGGTTGAGCCCTTTGACGGACCAAACAGCCCCATCTGCGCTTAAACTCATACTCTGGTCGCCACTCTCCCAGAGATGGTTTTGGCCGTGGGCCCCAGCCTTCTGCGGGGTTCCTAAAACGGAACCAAACCAAAACTACCAAAGTCGGAGCCAAGACTGCCTCACCCATCGAGGGACAGCAGGCAAAGGCTCCCGCTACAGCCCCAAATTGCAAGTGCGCCGTCTTGTGTTTCAACGACCGGTGAAATCCTGATAGCTTCTCTCTGCATCATCCCTAACCTGACCGTTCACAACCGTAAGGGAAAAACAAAACACCCACAAATCAAACAAAGCACCGACTCTGCCACGCGCGCAGCCCCCTCCTCCTGCGCTTCCGGGCTCAGCTCGCCGCTGAGCGCCAGGAGCGGCCTGAGACCAGCGTTGCCGGCCATGGCAAGGTCACATGTGCCAGGCTCGGATTCTTAGTGGTTGGTGTCAAAGCACGCTCCAAAACATGCGGGATACCCCTGTGACTCAAGTATGGCAGCTGGGGCCATGTCGGCCGTGTCAGAACCGGCGGCTGAGCGCTGTCGATTGGCAACAGCTCCCTCTTGGCTTTCCATTGAAATCCGCAAAAACTACTGGTTTTGATGTATCCTCCAGGATCTGCAGCCCACGTAGACTTGGATTTTGGGTTGCAGGCCTAGTCGCACATTTGGGTTGGTGAAAGGTCATCTGCATTGAAGACGGTACTGGGCTTTCAATGATGCCCTGCATACTCGGTGTGAGGCTCGAGGCTCGTAGCATGTCTGACGACGTGTCCGACATGTCTCTGTGTGAGGCCCTGGCGCCGCGGAGCTCCGGTCCGTGGAGCTGCCGGAAGGCCGGCCCCGCGGGGAAAGGGAGCGCCTGAGGCGGCGAACGCGGCTACCCATGCTACACATGCTAGACATGCTAGACATGCTACAGACCCTTTGGCGACGTATCCCTCGTGGATGAGTCTGTGGGCAAGATCGAGCGAAGAAACGGCTGGTTACTTACAACAAATTGCAGCAGATTGACTCCACTTGAAAAAAACTACCCGGAAGTACTCGCTTTCCCACTGGTTTTCTGCTCTGGCACAATCTGAGGACGAAGAAAGAGAGGACGATCACGGGTAACAGCCCCCCAGATCTCTTTATAAGGCTCACCAGATCCCCTTCAGCTCCTCGGGCCCAAAGACGTGCTTGCTTTGCCGAGTTGCTTCTTTGCCTGTGTGCAGCCTTGTTCCTTCAGAAAGGCCAGCAGGAATGGTGAGAAGAGTTTGTTAGTTGATTTGGTCGGGATGTCAATCCTGGCTCATTGACTGACAAAGTGGTAGACTGGTGTGCCTGTTGCCTCGCGAGGGCTAAATGACCATCCCATCACGCTGGCATCCGAGCAGGTCATGGACCTGCATTCCGTCCATGTATTTCACACACCAACAGTTTACTCGGGTGAGGAGGATCCCTTGGCATGTTGGTCACCCTTCATTGGGACAAGTTTACCTCTCCTGACATCTTGACCGTCAGCCCGAGCGAGCGGCGGAATGCGATGCATGGAGAAGCCGAGCCCGGGCACCTCGTACGAGGTGAAAACGAGAAGGGCCTCAGAAATTCCTCAACCAAGACTGCTAAAGTGACCCTAGGGCTTGTCGTACAATGGTGCATCTGAGTACAGCATGTGTGTGTGTGTTTGAGTTTCTGATTGGGACACCAACCACTGGAAGGGGTTTGAAGTGTAGAGCTTGGTCGCTTTTAGAAGGGGCCGCAAATCTTAAATTCAGCCAAAAGGGCCCCTTTGAGGGAGCATGCATCTCACGCCCAAGTAGACCATCCCCGAATGCACTTTGCCTACTGTGTTAAGGGTCCGGCGAGCTGAAAGCGGGTCTTGTGCTGATGTCGCACTTTCCCAGCTTGTGATAGAGCGGAGGCTTCTTGTAAGTCATGACTTCTTGAGGCCGCGGTGTTTTGTGGTGCTTAAATCGAAGTTCTGCACAGAGCGATTTTGGGAATCAATGACAGCCGGGAGCATAGTTTCCGATCAATGAGATCATATCATGTAGGGTTTACGTCACATATCAGCCAACCTTCTCAGAGGCTTTGATCGTGATTTGAGCCGAAGATGATCCATCTCTTAAGCCCAAGCCAACTTCCAGATTCTCGGATCGAGGCTCCTGTTTTTCCGACGCAAAAATCAAACGGTGAACTAAAGTGCTGGCGGAGGCCTTTTCCGGAAAAGCCGAGAGTAATGAAGGCGGCACGTTTGGAGACAAGCGATCTTCATTCAGATTTGGCACTTCTTGTCTCCCTTGGTCATCCCTTTGTTGTGGTGCTGGAATCATCACTGGGGTAGTCAATGGACCCGAGAGAACGAAACAGCAGAGCCACCAGCAGAACCCGGAGGCGGTGTCAAGTTGAATGATAAACTTAAATCTAAAACGTCAGACCCAATCAGCGACTTGAAGCTGGCCCCTCTTTGTGCCAGATGAGCAAGAGGCGCTCATGCGGGAGCTTACATGCACACATCACAACAGACCCCCTGCACCCCTGCCTTGCCACTGGCCTTAGGAAGAAGCTCTGTGGGATTGTTCAGTTTCACAGTTTCACCGTTGAATTAGCAACTAACTAATAGAAAAGTCTCAAATGGGCCACTGGTTGAGCTTTCGGGGTGCTCATTCATGTCATACATATCACGGCCCACCTCTACCCTCTTGCCCGCCTCTCCGAAGACTCCACTCAGGGCCTGACGCTGATGCTGAAGCTTGGGAATTGAGGAAAGGCAAAACAACACGTTGTTGGGTCCGGAGCTCTCCGCTGGACAAGGGGTTGTCCCTGCTTGCGAAGCCTTGTTCAGGCAAACCAATTGATGCCTACATGGGTAAGAAAACACATTTCAGGTGTCCCAAACTGTTGCATGTTCTCTGATGCCCCCGTGTTCGCTTTGTGTGACGTACAAACACAACGTGACGTCCCTTATCCAAAATCCGGTTTGATCCCGCTATGGAGCCTTACTCCTCCATTGCACGCAGGCAAGCGCAGGCAAGTGTATGCGTGTCTCCGAGAAGTCAAAGAGACGAAGCGCGTCGAGCTTCGAAAGAGCCGGAACGGTGCCGGAAGCCAACAAGCCCCTCTCAAAAGGCTCCAAAGGCCTGGTGACCTAAATTATTACGGTTTCAATGGTAATGCGCGCCAAGAATTGTCCAGATCAAGCCATGAAGTCAAACGCCTTTGCACCATGAAACAGCACAGCGGCAAAATGCCGACGCATCCTCCCTTCGCCTGCACCGAGATCTTCAGATTGGTCCGAGCGAAGTTCCCCTGCCCACCCTGCGGCAAGTGTTGGAGTGCGCGAGCCGTTCCCACACTCACCACACTCTCACCACGAGAGATTTGGGTTCTACTTGGACCTCCGAAAAGAATACATCTATAGAACGAGCCCTGAACCCGTTGAATCTTGGAGGCCTTCCACGTCCTAGCGTTTGTAAACTGCCCAATTCCACGACCAGCTTCAATCACCATAGTGAAACTGCCCCTGTGGATTTGTGCTCGGAATTTGGGCGACAAACATTGCAGTGCGCGGTTGAAATCCCCATATTCAACGGCACCGTATTCGATGGGGATTATAGACTTTCACGGGGACCCCAAAAGTTGCAATCAACAACTAGAGCACTTGATTCACTTCCTCTTGGTTTGTGATAATTGTTCACGGGGCCTCTGGGAAGGTGGCAGTGCAAACCCTGGTTGCTTGGACTGTAGCTTCAAACATCTTTGGCAATAGGCAATTTCCAGCAAGGTCGAAATGCCTTTGTGGTGGGAATTTCATCCTTGCTTGTCCAATTTGACTTGAGCAACAGATATAGACAAAGCTCGGTAAGCAAACGGTCACCTCCAAACCCATCTCCAAACCCCGCACCGGCACGGTCGAGCCATAAGAAAAATCGAACAACGGTTCGTCATCATCGATCACTGGCATAAATCGGCTACCTGCGCAGCAAACCACCGGACGCGAATTGCTCGAAAATCGAACGTGACTTGACCCTGAAAAGTCGATGCGACTCGAAGCCAACTCCCCCGCTCGTGCTGCAGATGTCACCTGGGAAGTTGGACGGGTTTTCATCACTTAAGGGCTTACATTTCACCAGGCAGGTCCCTTAGCCAATTTCTTTCATTTAGACTTCAGTTGGCGATCCCAGTTTGAAGTTCAAGCAGGATTGGTGGATCCAGTGCCCTGGTTTTTGGCTCAAGTGGATGGTCCAGCGTTGGGTCCTGCGCGATACGATGCCTCTCTTCCCGGACTAAGCAGAGATTATAAAGCTTGGGGACTCGCTGACTGGGCTGCAAAATCTGAACTGGGCATGTTCGATTCCAGTCAGAATAACTTTGGGAGAACAAATGGCAGCTGCGTCTTGAAGCTTCTCGGAGCTGTGGCCAAAGAAAGATAAAAGGCTCGCAGCAAACTGTAGAGAACCATGCGAATCTTCATGCTCGTCAGGGTGCCAACCCTGAACGTTGCGAGACGCAACGCCCTCGCCCTCGTGCAACTCGGCAAGTTGCCTTCAAACAACGCCCTGGCACACCCGGCACCAGAAACAGGGTCTTTCGGTGGAGTTTTTGAAGGGGCCCTGAGATTGACCAAGATCCGAGCCTGTGAAATTAGGGGCCATCATGACTGCCATCATGTTGACTCATGTTCAAGCCTTACCTGGCCCCTTGCAAGCTCAAAGCCCAAGCACATCGTCCCAAAATATTCAGAAGCCGAACAAGCGCATTGCTAGCTGCCAGCGCACAGCCCACGAGTCCTTTCTCCTCGTCTGCTCACGTCTCTCCAGGCTAACAGCTCCTGGTACTTCCTCCGCCCCCAGAGCTGGCTGCCAGGGGAGAAGCAATGAGTGTTGTCGATGTAGGCTCGGGACCAGTTCTGTTGCCTTTGGGGGGCAGATGGGCGACCAGGCGTTCAGCCAACACTTGGATGCGCCAATGATTGAACTGACTAAGTCGAAGGAGCTGAGCCACGGTTTTGCCAATGTTCATGTTACGTAGCTCGGTGGTCCTCAAAAGCGGTCTGACAGAAAGGCCTCGCCCAGAAACCCACTGAGACGCCAAGTCCTACGATTTGACCAATCAAAAATCCTGGGACCATCCAAGCGAGGCAAACCGGCGCGTCCGACCCCCGCACGCAGATGTAAGCTTGGCAGTGGCGGACTGCCGACCAGGGCTTTGCCCGCTCCAACTACAAATACCTTGGCCCGGCCCGTGGTTTGGTAACACCATAAGCACTTAGTCGCGGCATTACGGTGTGCTCTGTAGCTGGTTCCCCGTTTGTCTTCTGTCCGCAGAGAAGGGACTGAGGTTGTGTTCGGTGGTTTGGCTGATACCCCCTTGGCTACTGCGTCCAACGTGCTGGGAGCTTGCAAACTGCTCGGCAAAGCCGGCGACTCCATCCACATCGAGTCGACCTGCGATCGGAAAGTGGCCCGCCGAGCAATGAGACATTGTGAGCTTCCCTCTGCTTCGAAAGCTCTCATGTTGTATATGGTATCATGGTGCAAATCTCAACCTTGCGACTCGTACATGTTGAATTGGCATATTTCGGGAACGCTTGAAGGCTCCCTGTGCAGGGAAAAGTGCTCAGAACCAGCTTGAGTCTCGGCTTCAATCTTTGGTACCTGGAGACCCGTGTCCACCTGACTGCACAGGAAACGACACACACACACACACATTGAATCCTCGCGGCTCAAAACATGTTGGGAGCCTACAGGCTTCCTGGACACCCAGATCGGCACTACCAAGAAGGCAACTACAAGCTCTCGGTGCTGCGTAAACCAGATGGTGGGCTAAGGCAACTGCACTTTGCATAACTAGTGAATCGGTGAGGGAATCCTGGCGTTGATGACTCCCAATGAAAGCTCTATGGAACATGGTGCAATTGTGCGAAGCATGAGGTTGTTTTTCTCACCAGAAGCTCTGCTTCCAAAGCATGTATATATGTAACATGGGTTCATATCGTCCAAATTTCGTCCAGGGACTTGCCAACGTCCAGAGTCACACATCACAAGCTTGCTCTGAGTGCTTGGGAAAGGCGTACTGCGCTCATGTGTTCGGGCCGTGTGATCTCGGGATTCGCACGGAGTAGCAGAACCATCAACGTGTGCTGTTACATTCACTTGACACCACACTGGGATGGTCACTGGCAGACCGCAAAACACACACTTGAACTCCAGATGGAGAGTGCTAATCTTTCGAGTACAACTGATGAGTCTCGAGTACAACTGATGAGTCTCGAGTACGATGAGTATCGGCTTGATTTCCGCGGGCAAAGAGGGGACCTTGTTGGGAAGCAGGTACGTAGCTGAGCGTCCTCAGCTACTTCCCTTCCAGTGACCTAGCTTCGTTGGATCAGGTCAGTCACTGGAAGCCTGATCCCCCTGCTGCGAAATTGAAAAATGGTGACAGGGCATTCTGTCACTCCGCACACACACGCCCCTCTACGAGGGGCGAAGTTTCTCTTTTCTCCTGCAGGAAGATCAAATGCTCACACTCAATTGTTTAACGTTGACC